TTTTTTTCTCCAACCTCCCCCCCCCCCCCCCCCGTTCAGGTGAAAGGAGGCTTATAATGTGACCAGTATCAAATTATTGAGGTGGTTTTGTTTGTTTGGGCTTTGGTTGTTTTTTGTTTGTTTGGTGGTTTTGTTCAGTTTTTTGTTTAGGAGACAGTGTACTTAATGTGTGGTAGAAGAGTTGAAGCAGCTATTCACAAGACTGAAGTTTTCTGTTAATTTTCTGTTTTGTTGCTGGCAGTGGAAAGCCACTGATGGCAGTCATTGACTTTGCTGTGTAGGAAAGCTGTTAGAAGAAGTAAATATGCTGTAGTTGTTGGTCTGTTCTTGTACACATTTTCTTAGCCACGTCTTTTGCGTTCACTGTTAAAGTTTACATGAGCTAGTGCATGTCTCGGCTCTTTCAAGATGTGCATTTATAGTAATTTTAGGGCTTTTTTTTCCCTTGAATTCATTAAAGTCAACCAGGCAGAGAAAGATATACTCTACTTCAATATCTTCTTTTCTCTGTTCAAGACATGGTCTTGCCTTGTATGGCTTCTAGTTCGATGTAACAACTTACTGAACAGAGTGGCTATTGACTTATTTTCCTTTTTGGTGGTCAGGAAACTGCTGCTTGCTTTCACTGTGTATTTTTCCAGTCATTCCCATCTGTTATTTTTTTTCTGATGGTAATTTTTGCAGGATTTAGACAAGAGGAAATCCTCAACTCCAAGTGCTGCTCCAGACATAAGTGCCAGCGGTGCTTGGCAAAAGCCGCAGCCGTTGCACTGGTGTGTGGGGCGGTTGTGCTGTGCTGTCTGGCACAAGATTTTCTTGAGCGTGGCTGACCAGCGTGGATGGATTTGACAATGCAGTCCAGAACTGACTAGATGATCTGTAAGGTCCTTTCGAACCCAAACCATTCATCATCATCTGTGAATGTTGTTGGCTGTGAGGTGTTTCTTTGAAAGCTTATTTCTAGGAAGTCTTTTGACAAAGTAAACTGTCTGTGTCCTTTCTCACAACACATAGTTGACAGGGATGTGAAGAAGACTCCGAGGCATCACTGTACCATTTTCTGTGTAAAATTTCAAGGTTGAAGTTTTTGAATTGTTCTAGATTATGGGTTTTTCTTTCTTTCTGGTCTCCGAGAGAAAAAATTTGAGCCTACCTTCTTCTAAACTCCAGATCAGTGGCTGCATCTAGGCTGTCAAAACCAAGCCCTATGAATTGTGAGACACGATAATTTATTCAGGGATAGCATTTCCTTTCATGTAGGGGCTTGAGAAGGGAAACACTAGGTATGTTGGAATGTCTGTTTGGGGTGTCTCTCTGTAATCTTCATCCTTGCAATGTCCCTTTTTCATTTAATGTGTGAGACTTCAGTGAATGGTCCTTCTCTTGCTGTTTAGGAGGAAGAGGGTCTTGGTGCAAGAAGAAATAGTGTACCTACGTTAGCCTGACATTCCTGAGATAGTTGTTCGAAGGAATACCTTCCTCACATGGTGCCTCTTGTAGACCGGGATGCGTAAAATGAAGTTGTTTAGGGGCAGAAGGTAGAGAGGCATATGTATAGCTAACAATAGTAACGCAGTATTCTACTTGCCAGTATCTCTTTTTGCTGGTGCAATATTCTGTTTGGGAAACTAATAATCATAATACAAAAACTTAAATTTCTGTGTACTTACCAACTCCATTTTTGGCAAGCAAGTTAGATATTGATGTGTTGCAAGCTTGATCTGTATTTATGTCAGTGATACAAAGGACTGCTAAACATAGTGGCATTTGTGTGCTTTAGTAGAGGTTATTGCTTGGGCTTTTGTACAACAGAGTTTTGGTCTGTTTGTTGCGTTAGATACAGCCGGATATCGGAAGGGTTGGCAAACGTTCCAGTTTTAAATAAGTTAAATGTTCAGGAATTAGATTCTTAAAATTTGCAAGCCTCAGGTTTGATCACTTCTTTCTGATGTTCTGTTTGAACATAGATGGGGAATGGCAATGAGTAGTTTTTTTAACCTGGTGAGTTTCTCTTAGTGGATATAGATAGTTTAATACATTTGTACTTCATAATAAATGACAGCTATGACCTGGGATAAATTACTAATCTTTATCTGGATTGACAGTGCTTGAGGAGAGATGAGCAGAATGAATCACACGGCTGTATCTGACGTGTGTGAGGAGGTTATATTAAATGACTAATGATTTAATCTTTCTCCCAAAAAGTTTTCTGAAGCTGGAGTGGAAAGAAAGAAAGTGGAAAGGGAGATGAAGTTGCTCTTGAAAAGGCCATGTGATAGCAAAAATATTTCCACATAATAGATGATAAATAATATTTTGTGATTTTTTTCAGATTAATGGTGCAATGTAGGAAGCCTTTAAAGGTTTCAGATGAACTGGTGCAACAGTATCAGAGTAAAAACCAATACCTAGCAGCAGTAGCGACGGAAGTTGACCAGGAACCTGAAATCGATCCTTATGCCTTTGTTGATGGTGATGTGGAATTCTTATTTCCTGATAGTAAAAAAGATAGACAGAACATTGAGAGGGAAACCGGGAAGAAACACAAGGTGAGTAAAGGACTGAGCATACAAATCAATGATGAGATTAAAATGAATTGCTTTAATCACCAAATATAATTTAAATCCTTCTCTGTGTATGTAAAGTGCATGTTAAAAATGTATTCTAGCAGAAATGATCAATGAAATTATGTAGCATGCCTCTGAAGACACCTACACCTAATTTTTTGGTTTTTTTGCACACTGGTGGTGCTGTTGCAGTAGGCTTTATGGCTTACACTGGGAGAACACTGCTGGACTGCAGCAAAAATTAGTCTGGCTCAGTAGCCTTTCTGTAGAATTGGGTGAGAGCAGGTGCTTGGGGAAGAGAGGAAGAACAAGGCAAGTGCTGTGTTCGTGTGCGCTAAGGTCTGGGGTAGGTGAGGTGAACTCCGTGATGAGTTGCCTGGACAGGACATTGAATTTTTTTTCTTTTGTGCTTTAGCCAGTACCAACTGTATGAGGCTTCTACTTAAAACAAACGTACACCCTCCAAAAAAGGAGAAAATATCACTGCATTAGGAGCTTGTATATGAAATGAATTTGCTTGTTAGGACTCATTGTGTGTTTGTGCACTCCTGGTGTTGAGAGTTTCATTCAATAACTAGTATAGTTAATGTGTAGCATTTGATCTGAAGTGGTTATCAGTACGGTGTTGTAGTAAGAACCCACAGCTTGCTTCTTAAATTGATCCCAAACACAGAAACGAAGATGTCCATTCTTACCTGTGCTCATTACCTGCGTGTTGCTGGTACGCTGTCTGTATTCCAAGCTTCCTTCTCCCTGAGCAAGTACCACTAACCAGACCCCAGATTATACCTGGCTGAGTGAGAAGGTTAATGGGAACCTGATACTTCTGATATGTACAAGAATTCCCATGGGGAGAGAAAATGCCCCCCACTTCCCCAGTTAATTAAAACAAACTTTTCTACTTTTTTAATAGGCCGAGGATGGGACATCTAGTGTTACAGTTTTATCCCATGAAGGAGAGGATGCTATGTCTCTATTTAGTCCTTCTGTCAAGCAAGGTAAGGTGTCTTTTTTCTTTTTAAATTGTGCTGTATTAATGATGTCTTGAATAATCAATAGATTCTAATGGGCTACTAAGTTTACTTTTTGGCTTGCATTTTCCTGTCCCTTCAGAATTAGGAATCTGCTTGGAATGCATCTTTGGTGCACCTTGCAAATAAGTGTTGGCTATAAAATCCAAATGTTATCAAATTGAAGGGACCTCACTTGATAAATGTAAGAGAAATGAGTGGAACTGAGAACAGACTGTTTTCCCCACCCTCCCCCCCTCCCTCCCTAACTGTGGAAATAGTTCTTAAGATGTCTTTGTTTTTTTCAGGAATGTGTATTGCCAATGTTTTTGCAATGTTTGGGTTTTTTATAGATGCCCAACGGATTGCTGCTCATGCTCGCACTGCATCAACCAGCCTGTTCCATGAAACAGACCTGGTGGTCTCTTACACTGACCTTGACAATCTCTTCAATTCTGATGAAGATGAACTAACAGTAAGTGATGTGCAAAAGTAATAGCAGCTGCTAGACAAAAAGCTGCAAGGAACAAGTATGTCTTCTTGTGGTTTGGAGTTTGATATTTTTTTTTCTTTGCATTTGTACGAGATTGCAAAATGTGAATATAAGCAAGTGCCATGGCTCCTCTGTAGCAGACGTACTGTTCTAGTTGACTCATACAATCCTATTTTTGGTACAAACAAGCTTTTGATCTTATATCCTTACTATCCAGACTGTGTATGTTTCTTGAATATACCTTTAGTTATAATTTCACAGATTCAACCATGGTACTAGCGCCCTTTTCCTATGGTCTAGGCTCTGTTTAACTAGCCAATAAAGGTAATGCTGAAACAAAAGAAAAACTTCTGAAAGAGAAGAGGCATTTAAACACGTGGACATCCTGCCAAATAAGCTGCTTCATTGCAGCAGCTATTATCTTGGAACAGTTTCTCTTGCAGTCTTGGATGGGTCTGAATCCATTATCTTTCTAGTTTCTATTTCAATACTGTTTGTAATCGGTTGTCTTTTCTGAACTGTACTTTGCTTCATGCTTAATCCTAAATCCCCTTACCCAGACAAAATGCCCATCAACTTTAATGGGAGCTGTAGCTGAGTAAGGGCTTAGTAGCCATCAAAGGTCACCATTATATAAAGCAAGTATATTTGCTCTTAAACATGAAAACTCTCATTTTCTATAGGCTTTAGTAATGTCTAAACATTGTAAAATATATCTCCTGTTCTTTTAATTTCAACTGCTTTTCTTCCCTGTACCTCTTGTTCTGGGATTTCTGTTTCTATCTTTTCTATTCCTGTTCATGTGGTAACATCAGTAATGTTAGTGTGGCTTTTGGGAGTGTGTATGTTTTTTCTGATAAATTGTGGGCAGCCCTATTTACCTTTTTTAAATATGTCTGCTAACAGGCTGAGAGTTATTTTTTAACTGATCTTTCATTTTAATAGCATCATGACAGAGAGAGCATTCTGTGAGTTACAAGTATTAAGGGAGGGCAAATGTAACCTCAACTACTGGTACTGGGCTTCTGATTTATTTTAATTTTTCTAAATATTATACAAAATTACAGCTTTGTATGTCCACTGCACACGTTAGCATTTCCTGTTCGAGAATATGAACATGTGTTCATGTCTGAAGTGATTTTGTCATAATGCTGCTTTTCTTTGTTAGCCTGGATCTAAAAGAACAGTGAATGGCGCTGATGACAAATCCAACTGCAAAGAGGCAAAAGCAGGAAATCTAGACCCACTGTCATGCATAAGTAAGCTTTATTTTGGTGTGGTTCTTTTTTGTTGTGTGTTGTTTGTTTGTTTTTCTAAATAGAATACTAGCTCCAAACATTTGTTTGCTAATATATTGTGGGAATTTGGAAACATACACTTAATTTGCCCTAGTGAAATTTTAAGACAAAGGAAATACTTGAAAATGTATTCATGCTCTTTTGATCTGAAATTAGGCACTGCAGATCTCCATAAAATGTATCCAACTCCACCTTCATTGGAACAGCATATTATGGGATTTTCTCCAATGAACATGAATAATAAGGAATATGGCAGTATGGACACTACACTTGGAGGAACAGTACTTGAAGGGAACAGCTCTAGTGTGGGAGCTCAGTTCAGAATTGAAGTCGATGAGGGTTTCTGCAGCCCTAAACCTGCTGAAATCAAGGTGGGTAGTGCTCATAGTCCTGATAAATGTTTCTAAAGATTATTGTTAAGTTTATTTCTTAATCTTGAATAAGAACTGTGGGAAATTAAATACAGTTTTTTACTTGTATCCTGCATTATACTGGAGTAGGTAACACATGTTCTAGTAAGTAGCATATGTGGTATTTTACTACTTAAGCCTCAAGAAAGAGTAATGTGTAATTGGCCATTAGTAAGCTGAAGGAATGCACTTTAGTAATTGTGTGGTTCATTGTTTTGTGTTGGCATATTGCTTTTTGGAGAACCATGGGTGCAAATGATGTGTGTGTATAAATCTAACTTTCTCTTTTGCAGCTATATCAGGGTTAAATATTAAAGAACTACTGCTTGAACTTAGTCACATTTTTTTGAGAAGCATTTTAATTGAAGTGATTTAATGAAGGTACTGAAGCTTTACCATATCTATCTTCCAGGATTATTCCTATGTTTATAAACCTGAGAACTGTCAAGCTTTAGTGGGATGTTCCATGTTTGCACCACTGAAGACGCTTCCCAGCCAGTGTCTTCCTCCCATCAAACTGCCAGAAGAATGCATTTATCGCCAGAGTTGGACAGTGGGAAAGTTGGATTTACTTCCTCCAGGACCTGCCATGCCATTTATCAAAGATGGGTATGACATGTACCACAAATGTTTAAGCTCTGTAAGGTGACCAGTTATCCATGCTGTAGGAAGTACCCTTAAATTGTTTTTTTTTTTAAAACCAGTAATGAGAAATGTGTGTAAAGACACAGTGTGTTTATGTAACTGACGGGAGCCTTAAAAAAATCCTTACGATTAAACCTTACTGTAAGAGATTGTCTCCTCAAATAGCTGCTTAACTGTGCATGCATTTTATTCGTTATCTCATTTAAAGGTTTCTTAGGGAAGCTTAATGGTTCAAGTCCAGTTTTAATAAGTAATGAAGATGGTAACAATCAAGATAAATGTAAACTTGGGACTTGTTTTTGTGGTGATGTTGAAGGTACTGTAAGACCTTAGTAGGTGGTGCTTCTGTTTCTTAAATAGTTTTCCTAAATAGTAGTAATCTCAGTTGTATTTGGACCAGGAAAACATTTCCTTTGGTTGGAAGCTATGCCCAGTGTGACAATGCCTGGTCACAGCAGTACTGCAGTAGACACCTCTATCATCTGCATTTGGTAGTGATGGTCTTGCTGGCAGTTCTTCCTGAAGAAAATGTTTATTGCTCTTCTGCTTTAGTAGCTGGTATAAATACATAGCCTCCTTGTTACCTAATCCATTTATCAATAAAATTACATAAATACGAAGCCTTGGAGTAAATACTGATGTTGCTTCTGTTAAGGTCATTCATAAGCAGTATGGTTTCCAGGTCTCATTAGCCTAATAGGTCTTTGGAGATACTCAGCTGCTTAGGAAATAAAATGTTAAACATTTCCAGGTGATACTTTCCTCGTGGATCCAGCTGAATCTTCTGTTGGCAGACCTGATGTATTTTCTTAGTGTGGGTCAACACAATGTGTAAATAAAACATGAACAAAAAAGGTGTCCTTTAGATTCCACATAACTGTACAATTTATAATTTATTCTGACCACACTTGTTTCCTGGAAGCTTTGTGCAAAGGAAGAGATGAAAGGAGGCGGGGAAAGATTCTTTAACAGTGCTGTCAGTGGGAGTCTTGCAAAGTCATTTAGAACAAATGCTCTTGAAGTTCCTTAGGGAATGAAAATCTCACTGCGGATTATGAAAGGCTAGTTTAAAAAAGCAAATATTTAATTAGGACGGTCATTCTTTAGAAATTTGAGACTTAAACTTCAAAACCAGTATGCTGTGTACTTAAAGTATTTCCTTCTTCTTGTGGCTGCTCTTAGTGATGGAAGCGCTATGGATCAAGAGTATGGCCCTGCGTACACACCACAGACTCATACTCCGTTTGGGATGCCGCCAAGCAGCGCACCTCCCAGTAACAGTGGCGCTGGAATTCTCCCTTCTCCTTCCACCCCTCGTTTCCCAACTCCTAGAACACCAAGGACTCCTCGGACACCTCGTGGAGCTGGTGGACCTGCAAGTGCACAGGGCTCAGTCAAATATGAGAACTCTGATTTGTACTCGCCAGCTTCCACACCGTCAACGTGTAGACCACTCAATTCTGTTGAACCTGCAACCGTGCCTTCCATTCCAGAGGCACACAGTCTTTATGTGAATCTCATCCTCTCCGAGTCTGTGATGAATCTCTTCAAAGACTGTAACTTTGACAGCTGCTGCATATGCGTTTGCAATATGAACATCAAAGGTGCTGATGTTGGAGTTTACATTCCTGATCCAACACAAGAGGCCCAATATAGGTGTACCTGTGGTTTCAGTGCTGTTATGAATAGAAAATTTGGCAACAGTTCTGGGCTGTTTCTTGAAGATGAATTGGATATATTAGGACGTAATACGGAGTGCGGCAAAGAAGCAGAAAAACGCTTTGAAGCTCTCAGAGCCACTTCTGTTGATCATGGCAGTGGAGGGCTGAAAGAACCTGAGAAGCTGCCTGATGAGTTAATACTGCTGCTGCAGGATCAGTGCACCAACTTGTTCTCGCCGTTTGGAGCAGCAGATCAAGATTCGATTCCTAAAGTTGGTGCAGTGAGCAACCTGGTACGTGTGGAGGAAAGGGATTGTTGCAATGACTGCTACTTAGCCTTGGAACATGGACGGCAGTTCATGGACAATATGTCAGGAGGGAAAGTTGATGAAGCACTTGTGAAAACTACTTGCTTACACCACTGGTCAAAAAGAAATGGTAAATATTGAAAACAGATTATTTTCTACTTGTCTACCTGTTAATTTTTCAGGGGCTTGGTTTTTTGTGTTTTTCGTTTGTGAGTATTGGATGCTTAAAACTGTTTTTGTACCTGCATGCTTGCATAAACTTCTACTTTAACACTATCTGAATAAACGGTCCTTTTATGTTCTGTGCTGGTACCGCACACCAAGCGAACTGTAGGCTTTGGCTACCATCAGTTGTAAATTCCTAACATCAAGTCAAAGTGTAACGTAAGACCGCAGTAACTGTCCACAACGTTTCACTAGGCTTATTCTTTTAAAGCAGCATCTACAGAGACTCTGAGGAAGTGTAGGTGGTTCAAATGGTGATGGTATTGTCAAGGCTACTGTGGCAGAATTAAACAAGATAAATTATTCAGTTAGTTTCTCCCCCCTTCTTTAAGGTGGGGGGGGGAGGGCATGGTAGTTTAATGGCATGTGTGGCAAATAAAGCATTATTGTAGCCTTCACTGTATGTTAGATCTCCCAGAGATCCTTGGTTTTTTCCTGCTAGGGCCTGACGAATCATATATGGTCTCATGGAATAACCTTTATTGTGTGTATTTGCATACTTCTCAATGTTTTCAAGTAGCAGCTCTAGCAGGATGAACAGTGAAAGATGAAACTCTGATGGCAGTTAGCTGCGATTCATAGTTGTTAATGAGGATGAGGGGGACTAACAGTAAAACACAGCTATGTTTCTGTGTAGTGGTGGGGAATTAAGTTTAAAAGGCCTGGCTATAGATAAATCAACGTTTGCAGGCACCCAGGAGAACACACGGTGTTCCCATGACCTTGGTATTTAGGATAAAAAGATGTAAAGATACTTTTAAATGGAAGGCTGTGAAATTATAGCTGTACCAAATATTGTGTCAGCTTTTTATTCTCGAGCGCTGTCCGTTAAGTGGCATAATGGTGGGAAGCTGATGAAATGGGCTGTGACCATTTGAAGCTTCCTTTGACTTCTCTGAAGTGAGCACTGGGTGGCAGCCTGCCTAACCCTCCTTTCTGTGGAGGGAAAATCTTGTCGTCTAAAGGTTGTGTACAACTTGTTGGACAACCTACAAATTTTAGGGTTTGTTTTTTTTTTCCTCCTTTAGTTTAAGTGGTAGGATGGTAAAGCTTTCAAGGGAAAAACTCCACAGGGAGAAAAAAAAAAAGAAAAAAAAACCCAAATCTATCTCTATTTTTATAGAAGGGAAAGGGGAGAACTCTGAATCTGTGTGCTTAACTTTTAATAACATGGCCTTTGAGTCGCCTGTGTGTGCATTTCAGAAGAGAGTGGATTTGTTTAAAACCAAGGCGGTTGAGGATTCTGAGTTGTCTGCGAAGGGCTTTGTTGTAGCCTGTTGTTGCAGGAGACCTTGACAAGTTTTTGTCCTTTCAGTTGTGGACGTGAGCATGCAGTGTTCCCAGGACATCCTGCGTATGCTTCTCTCGCTCCAGCCGGTTCTTCAGGATGCAATTCAGAAGAAGCGAACGGTGCGGTCGTGGGGTGTGCAAGGCCCCCTCACGTGGCAGCAGTTTCACAAGATGGCTGGCAGAGGCTCTTATGGTAAACTGCTGTGGAGGCTCCTTTCTGTTAATCTCGGCTTGATCCGGCCACCAAACCTCCAGGTCTCAATGCTGTTTGGCCTCTTGGAATTCTAAACAGCATTTGACCTTTCTTTAAAGAGCTGTCAGAAAGGGGAGAATTCTCCTCTTCGGAAAAAAACAGAAAATATTTATAAATATAAATATGTATTTATAAATATAATAATTATATATATAAGCAGTAAATTAATTA